TAATAAAATAATAATAAGAATAATATAATTATTAAAATTATTATTATTTAATTATATTAAAATATTATAATTAATATTAAATATATTTAATATATTCAATTAATTCAATTAAATTTATTTTTAATATACATCAAAATATATTTTTATTATTGTATATTTAATTATTTATAATATTAATTTTTTCTACAAATCATATCAAAACCCTTTCTCTTTATTTCTTTTTATTTCTCTTTTTTTTTTTTATTATTATTATTATTATTTTATTATTGTTATTGTATCAAATTACAACGGTTGTTGTTGTTGTTGTTTTTGTTGTTTTTTTTTTTTCTATTTAACGAGAAACCGCCACGCTCTCGGGAACATCCTAGAACGAAACTTTCTCCGAGTTCATCGATTTCATAGATCAGCTCGTAGAAAGAGGATTAGAAAAAGAAAAAAAAATATAAAAAAAAAAAACAAGCATCAAGCAAGAATTCAAATTATTAGCTAAGATGAAAACTACGAAATAATTATTAAAAAAAAAAAATAAATAAATAAAAAAATAGAAATAGAAATAAAAAAAGAGAAAGAGAAAGATTGAGAGAAAACTGTGAAACTCTTGGAATTCTTGAAACTCTTCGATTAGATCAATCAACACCTTTCTTTTTCCTATTATTATTATTATTATTATTATTATTATTATTATTATTATTTATAATTAAAAGAAGGTATTTAAATTATAATGAAACACAATAGTCGAGAACCACCAATGTAAAAATAGTCAGTCAGACAACCGATACTCATATTAACGTATTATCGTTGTTACTTTTTTTTCTTATCGTCGATTAGTCGAGTGCTATCGAAGCATGATATACATATATATATATACATACATATATATTATACCTGTGCATATATGTATAAGTGTAATAAGTGCGTTAGTAAGAACCGATCGATTTGTAATAAACAATCGTTGTATTAAACTCTCAGTTGTTCGATAACTTCGCGTGTGAACGGACCTTTATTAAACGTAGTACATATATATATTTATTATTATTATTATTATTATTATTTTTCTCGTTCGAAATTATTCTCTCTTTCTATTCATTCAATTTATTATTTATTTATTTTTGTATTTTTTTTCCTCATGTTTTTTTTTTTCCTATTTCAATTCTCACTTGCATCATTGGTTTTTTACAGAACGTAATATATACATATATATATTTATTATTATTATTATTATTATTTTTGTTTGAAATGATTCTTTCTCATTATTTTCATCTATTATTATTTTTTGGTTGTTGTTTTTTTTTTTTGTTCTCATATTTTTTTTTTCTTTTTTTTTTATCTTTTTCTCTTCCTATTTCAATTCTATCTTTCTTGCATCGTTGATTTTCTTGCAGAAATTGCGGCAGACGAGCAAAATAATAGGTGGTTCTCTCTTACATAAGAGAACGCAAACGAACGAACGAACGAACGAAGGAACGAATGAACGAATGAACGAACGAATAAACGCGACGTAAGAAAACGTGTTGTTGCGTCTGTGTTTTTTCAGTTAAGCGAAGACTATGAACTAAGTAAGGTAGACTAGACACCCAGTTTAGATCACTTTCAAGGTACCATCATTCCTACCTATTATTATTATTATTATTATTATTTTATAAATATTATTAACCAACAACAACAGATTTGTATCAAGTCAACCGAGTGATCATCTTAAAGTGTTACTGCAATAAACAATAATAATAATAATAATAATAATCATTAATAGTTCCTCTTCCGATTCTTCGAACCTATCAGCAGGAAGTTCCAACATGACTCGATTTTTCTTTCATTTTTCTTTTATACCGATTAAACAAGTTACTCAAGAGACCGGTAATGACGTATTGTGATTTTTAATGACAATTTCATCGAACATTGATATTTCCTTCATCAAAAAAAAAAAAAAAAACACAAGTGTTGTTGTGAATTGTGTAACAATAATAATTGGGATTATGTTTATTTGTGGAAAACGTTTTTATGAATTTAAAGATGAATAATAAATCAACAAGGACGAAGTCTACGTTTACTAAAAAGAACGTGTTGGTTACTATCACACCTTACAATGTTAGTACACACTGTAATCTCAAGAAAACTCTTCAGTTTCTAGGATTCCTAATATATTAGCTTGTTCAGAAATGTTTGCTTCAAGGTTAAACCTTAAACCCCTTAGTGCACCTTTCAAATGCAAAACATGAACAGTAGCAGGATTTTTATTAAATTTAACTTCACACTGATCCCACATGTTGTTATTCATCAGTTTGTTTTATTGTGTCAACAAAAAAACCAAAATTACTTTCTGAACAAGCCAACATTTGTTATCAACATCCCCTCCACCACCACCACTACCAACACACACACATACTCAGATTGAATTTTAAATATTGTTTTTTTTTACATTGTTATACAGGAACAGGAGAAAAGGATACTGACAAATGGATCCAGCTCATCAAACTTGACTTTGAATTCAACAGTGAATGAAACTAAAACAACACCAAATCTAACAACGAACACATCAACGATTAACAATAACGCCAGTTTTGTTAATAATAATAATAATAATAATCCAACATCATCGATAATTCCACCACCACCAGCTCCCCCAGCACCTCCTCTACCATTACCAACAAAAACTGGTACTACCAATAATGAGGATTCGGTTGAGATGCAAAGTATTGAATCGTTTAAATTAAAAGAATCACCAAATCCAATTATACCTAAACCACCACCAACATATTTCCCATTAACGAATTCTTCAACGCCAGCAACCAATGGTGGTAGTCCACGTCACAATCCTATTGGAAATAAAACGACGAATCAGATAATCAAAGATAAGGATCATCACCAACAATCAGCAAGTCCAATTAACGAGACCAACAAAAATTCCATTACAACTACAACTACTACAGCTACAACTACAATTACTAATACTACTGCTACTACTACTACTACTACTACTACTAACAATGTAATCTCACCAAATGGTAATACCGGTGGTGTACCTAAACCAGCCGTTGGAAAGGTCGCCATTAGGATAGGTGCTTACGAAGGTGAAGCTAAACAACCTGCCAAGCTCGATTTCTTAGCTCAACAACCTCGAACGGAGAAGAATGGAACCGAGGAAGCTAACGGACCGGTTGTATCCAGGTTGCAAAATGAACTGGCTGCAACATTGCAAAGATCGAATTTAAGAAGGAAAACTGAAGGAGTAAGAATTACATTTTATATCAATCTCATAATTAACTAAATTTTCATTTTTTTTTTTTTTTTTTTTAATCTTTTCTTTAAGTTCTATTATTCTAATTAGGTTAATTTTAATTATTCTCATAATTTTTATGCTCAACATGTAACTAGATAACCTAAAAAGACTATTTTGTTTAGTTCTCAAAGCAATCATTATCTTTTTTTTTAACGTGGTTAGTGTGAGTTAGTTTCCTAACCTCACTTTTAGATCCTTCCCTTTATCTGGGATTTAGTACTCTATTATTTACATATGGGACTTATTTGGGACTTATTATTATTTTCATTTTTTCTTATTTTTCTATTTTATTTTACAGGAAAATCAAACTACTGCCAAATCGATACCGGAGAACACGATGACGTCAGAAAAAGATACAACGAATAATCAAGAACCCAATAAAATTCCTCAAAGTACCGTAGAAAAATTAGCCACAGCATTAGGCAACAAAGTTACTATCAAAATTAATCCCGATGATGGTGGTAATCGATAAACAACAATTCATAAACATTTATTTAACGTATATAAATAATAACAATAATAATAATAATAATTAATAATTAATAATAATTAATAATAATAATAATAATACGTGCATATCGCGGAGCCTATTACAAAAAAAAAAAGAAAAATCAGAAGAAAAAAAAGTTTGTACATTGTTTTGTCCACCTCGTTCCAGTACACCCCACCCCCCGCCCCTCTGATTCGATTTTATTATATAAATATACATATATACATATATACATATATATATTATATATAGAAAGAGAAAGAGAATACAAAAAAAAACGAATGGAAAAAAGAAAAAAAAAAGTAAAAAGGCGGTGCACCATAAAAAAAATCGGTGAACATGTTTTTTACACGTACGTCTTTTTTATATGTTATTTATTACCAATAATAATATTAATAATAATAATAATAATAATAATAATAATAATAATAATAATAATAATAATAATAATAATAATAATTTAATAAGGAATGAATTATTAATCCTTATTAATGTTACAAGGCACGATTGTAACGCGTGGGATGACAAACATTTATCCCGTGTGTGTGAGGTTAAATTCAAATTTGCCTAAATTATAGTCTTCTTCGACTGCGGCTATGTACGAAAATTTTAGAATGTTAAGTATATCAAACTGATATATATATATATATAAATATATAAATAATAAAAGCGTTGTTTAACGTATCACGAAAGTAAATCAACATTTGTTGTTCCTTTATTCTTCCTGTCTTTTCCATTTATGAACATGCAAGTGAAACAATTCTAAACATGCAAATGAAACAATTCTAAACATGCAAATGAAACAATTGTAAACATGCAAATGAAACAATTGTAAACATGCAAATGAAACAATTCTAAACATGCAGGTGAAACAATTCTATACATGCAAATGAAACAATTCTAAACATGTAGATGAAACAATTCTATACATGCAGGTGAAACAATTCTATACATGCAGGTGAAACAATTCTAAACATGCAAGTGAAACAATTGTAAACATGCAGGTGAAACAATTCTATACATACAAATGAAACAATTCTAAACATGCAAGTGAAATAATTGTAAACATGCAGGTGAAACAATTCTAATTTTTAATTTTCATTTTAAATCTGCAAACCCTAACCTATAGCTTTTTAGACATAACCTGAAAAATTGACAAACGTTTGCTGATGGGTACACAAGGTAAACATTGTTTTATTAATTTATTTATTAAAAATAAAGAAATCCTTTTCTAAAATTCTATGCAAGTGCAACAATTTCGACTATATTTAATTGTAATTTTAAATATGTAAACCCTAACGTGCAACTTTGATATAACCTAAAAAGTACAAACGTTTACTGATGGATACACAAGGTAAAAATTATTGTATTAATTTATTTATTAAAAATAAAGAAAAAATAAATCACACGTATTATAAAAAACAAATTTTCCTACATAAATTCTCACTAAAAAAAAGAAAAAAAAACTATTTCCAAATGACTGAAGTTGCAGTTACGATCAATCAAAGTTCAATCGAGAAAAAAAAATCATCTTATCGATCCATCAATTCTCGTTGTCATCGTAATCATACCATTTTGATACTAATCGACGAAGTAGTAGTATAATAATAACAACACCATACACCACATGGCAAACAAATCATCATCCCCATCAGAAATGTACAAATTGTTCGGTTGTTTGGAACCTGGTACTTAATAAAAAACCTTCACTTTCAAAATCATTTAATAAACAAAATCATTCAATACCCAGAACCAGCATCAACACTTGTTCATTTGATACTTGTCTTATACAGAAAAGAAAAATCTTTAATGCGAACCACGAAACAATACAACAACAAAAACACCGAAACGGAAAACAACAGGATTCAAAAACTTTTGTTATCAGAATACTGTGATTTTTCTGACACTGTACTAGTCGAATCACCATTTGCTGAAACCACTAGAGATGGACATGGTTTGAGACAAGTAGCATTAGGTTTGACACCTAAAAGATTGATCATTGCAGCTGACGTTTTCAAACAAAATTCAAATCATTTTATTTGTCCCGTTGACCTGGATCCAAGCATTGAAAGTTTTGAATTGGTTTCTGTATATCCTTTGGATTACATTACATTGACAATATTTGCTAGAAGACACCGTAAAACATTGAAAGGAAGGTACTGTATAAAACAATGTTACTTTAAATACTTTGTACAAATTGTTTTTTGTATACTTTGTGTTCATTTACATTGTATTATCTCAATTGGATCAACCTTTACGAATAAAATTAGGTTCTTTCTAGGCTGATAGATGGTAGAATTCATTATTACGAGTTAGGTGGTATTAATCGTAGAGAAATTTATTGGAAAATATGGTGCGATCATATTCGTTGTTTACTCGAACGTAAAACTAAAAGTAGTTCATTGTCTGAGACAAGTGTTGCCAGTTCTTCGAGTACAACAACTGTTTACTTGTTATCATCAGAAATTGAAATTGATGACAATTTGTCAGGAAACAAACAAAGAAACGTATACAGGTGTGTGTTTTTTTTCATTTCGTTTATGTAAAATAATTGAGCCGTTTATTTAGAAAATGATCATTTTCAAAATGAACGGCTCAATTGTTCTGTAAAAAAAACAACAGTTTGTTCAGAAAAAAAATGTGAATAATTTGATAATAGAATTTGGGCTCATTATGGTGGTGCTGGTGACAATAATCGTCCAACATGGTTGAACAAAGATCTTTACCTTGGTCCATCGTACAACGAATTAATATTCGGTTATTACAAACCAATTCCTGTGAGATTTGCTGGAGCAAGTTTGGAAGAAATCAAATATACATTGACCGATCATTCACCTAATATAATTATTAAAAAACCTTGTCAAAGTTGGCCAGAATGTCGTAAAAACAAGTACAATAAAAAATCAAAACACGATGACGATGATTTGTGTGATGTTTTGTTTGTCAGGGATGATAAGGATAAACAAATTCTTACAAGTTGCAATTGTTCTTCCTGCGATCATTGCAAATCTCAGGAAAAATTACTCGAAACTTTATGGAACAATAATAATAATAATAATAATAATAGTCGTGGTTAGTTTATATTATATTAAATTTTCATTTAGAACAATCTTAATTATATAATTGTATTTTATTTTTTTTTTAGAAAAATCAAACATTTCGTTAGAATCAACAAAAAGTTCGACAAAAATCCCAGATAAATCGATAGAACCAATAATAAAAAAAAGGACAAAATCAAATTGCAAAAAACACCATCAACAACAAAAACCAACGAACATTTTGATATCAAAAGTCTCCCGTTTTGGATTTGGTGTTGCAGAAAAATGTAATTCAACTTTAATTTTAGGCCCATCACAAAGAAATCATCATCATCATCATCATCATCATCATCATCATCATCATCGTAACAATAACAAAACAAATGAAAATAAAAACGATCCTAAGATAAATATCTACGAATTGATCGAAAATTGTGTCAAAATGTGGGAAGGGGGTATGATAAATCAAACGGGGCCAAGGAAAAGTCAAAAACACTCGAGAAGATACGGTCTGATAACTGCGGCATATTTTTTTCGTGCACTGGGACCATGGTCAGTCCAATCAGGTGAACGTGAATCCGTTCAAGGTCGTAGAACGGTGAGCGCAGTTAACATAAGAAGACAATGCATTGAACCTGAACTAAGATTACCAGTGTCACGTCGTCAATTGATAGCAAGTGTGTCATGCAGTGCATTGGAACCTGGTGGTTGTAGTGCAATTGGTCCAGCTACTAAAGAACAAGTTGTATTATTCTGGACACCAGAATATTGGTACAGACCAAGAGCAGCTATCACAGCTTACAGGTTATTTTTCTGAAGGTTTATATCTCACCTATTAAAAAAAAAAAACAACAACAACAAAATAATATTCATGATTGATATATGATAGAGAACTGAGAAGACATCTGACATCTATCAGAGATTATCATCAGAAAAAGGAACAAAGGAAAAATGAGAAAAGATTCTTTTACGTACGCAAACGATCAATTCCCGGTAAGATGATGAAATCCTATGTCTCATAATTATTATCATTAATAATTGACATTAGGTACTCCCTCAAATAACCAAATCCCGCCAGTGTTCCCATCCCTGAGCATGGACCCCCGTCCATTCGCGATCTTCGTAGCCCACTTTCTTTAAGATCCCGAAACAATATTGTCCTCCTATCCACGTCTCGGTCTACCCCAGTGGTCTTTTCCCGTTCGATATACTGATCAGTATTTTATACACCCTTCGATCCACCCCCCATGCGTGCCACGTCACCTGCCCATCTTAATCGGCGTGATTTTACGACGTTAATGAAGTCCGGTTTTGTACAGTCGGTGTACTTCCAGGATATGGGGTTTTCCCATTCGGCCGTTTCCTCGATCGCGTTTTGCACCGAACATTTTACGAAACAACTTTATTTTCTAAACCCTCAATTACTTTTCGTACCCGTAACGTAAGTGGACCACGTTTGGCTACCATGAAGGATTACTGGTAGGATGATTGTCCTGTGTATTCTGATTTTTAAGAGCCCAGACAGCAACCTGATGTTTTAGAGACTAGACAGCATTAACCTGATTTTTAGGAGCCCAGACAACAGCAACCTGATTAATTTATTGACATTGTTTAAATAGATTGTTTATTTTTAAGTTTCCAGTATTTCATTGGAAGAAAAATCTGGTGGTTTGTTAAAACGAATATTTTCAACAAGTGTACCTAACAAGAAAAGAAATAAAAGGAAAGAATCTAACCAAAATGGTGATGATGATGACAATGATAACAACAGTGCAATGTATCAATTGAAAAGATTACTGAGATTAGAAATGCGTGTAACTGTATGGGACTTGGATAGTACTACCATTGCAAAACAATTAACTATGATTGATAGAGATCTATTTGTTCGTATACCCATTACTGAAATTGAGATAATTATCTTTCAAAAATCATCAAGAAATGCACCGAATTTAGGAGCTTGGGTTGCATTTGGTCATAGGATTACTTGTTTAACTATCAGTGAAATACTTGCTATTAAACAAATTGATATGAGAACTAGAATGATGGCTAGATTAATCAATGCTGCTAATAAATGTTTCGATATTGGAAATTTTCATTCATGTAGATCTATTTTAGCTGGTTTACAATCACCACCGATTTATCGATTGAAATGTAGTTGGACATATTTACGTATTCATCATGCTAACAGGTATCTATTTATTTATTTATTTATTGATTAATTGATTGATTTATTGAAAAATTCATTCAATTATTGATTAATTGATTTATTGTTTTTATATATTGGAAAATGAGAATTTTAATTATTATAAAATATTATAAATTTTAATTAAATATTACGTTAAATAAATTATTTATAAAATTAAATAAAAATGTATAATTAAAAATTTATATATTAAATATATATATTATAAATTTAATAATTATAAAAAAAATTATAAAATATTATAAATTATTAATATATTAATTATTCCAATCAAACTACATATATTTAATTTAATAATAATAATAAATAATAATAATAATATTTAATATAAATACAAATTATGAAAACCACCATAAGAAAATTGTAATTTTAGATACGCCATTATGGAAAGACTTTGCAAAATTTATAAAAATCCTAATTCTTCTTTATACCGAAGAGCATGGGCTAAAGCAAAACGAAACCCACCTTGCATACCTTACATAGGTGATCTTATAATAAGACTTCTAGGACTCCATATTTCTCAATATTCCGAAAAAAGCACCCTATCAAAACCCTCCAAATTGTTTCTATCAAAAAACATTACGAGAAAATCTTTAGAAGACAAACCCCATCATCAACAAAATACAAGAAAATTCTCAAATTCTCATGAACACAAGGAAATATCGAATAAAAATATTTTAATATGTGCATTGAACAAATTAAAATGTACAAATTATCAACGTAATGTTGTAAATGAAGAAAATGATTTATCAATTACATTGAGACAAGAAGAATTAGCACGAAAATACTTCGATCGTTGGAATTACATAACCTTAAAATCAACTATTAAAAAACAAGATGAAGAAAGATTGAACAAAATGAATGATAAAAGTAAACGTGTCCTTGATTTGTCAATTTGGATGAACGATTGTCAAAAATTTGCACGTGGTTACAATTTTTCGCGAAATACATTGGCTAGGGAATTTTTGTTAAAGGCACGTTACAGAGAGGATCGTGACAATTTTTTTATCAGTTTAAAACTCGAACCTGCTGATACTTAATAATAATAAAAAAAAAAAAAATAAATAAATAAAAAAAGACAAGAAAAAATCTAAAACAAACATTTTGATTTTGAAAACACTTTGATTCTGAAAACATTTTGATCCTGAAAACACCTTAAATCCTGAAAACAACTAATCAAAACTTACCATCTTGATAACATAATCCAATAAATAATCTGCATAGGTTTTCTAATCTTCTTACAAAAGACACGAATCTAATTCTGAAAAATAAAACGTTATCTTTTATGAATAATAATAATAATTATTATTATTATAATTATAATTATACAATACAATATTTACAGCTATATTTGTTTTTATAATGCAGCAGTATTATATGTTAAAAATATTCATTGAAATTGAAACTTCATTTTATTTCATTTTATATATAAAAAAAAAAAAGTAATCTTAATTGTTATATATAATTATTATTATACTGTAATGTTTACTTTGTATAACATTTTATTATGTTAATAAATTATTTATTAAAATATAATTGTCTATTATACTGGAAAAATATTAAAAGAGAAAGAGCAAGTATACACAAAGCAAAAATAGTAAAAATACAGTAATTTGTATAAATCAAAATATTAATTACTATATACTTACATTTTTACAAATTATAATAATATTATATATAATTATAATAATATTATAAATAAATAATCCCCCTATTTATTTTATCATTTTATTCCGAACATAGTGTATACAATATTGTTACTATACATATGCATATTACTCTGTTAAAACAGTCATCAGTCATAAACTTAAAAAAAAGAAAAAAAATTAAAAAAAAAAAAAATGAAATGTTTAACCAGTTAAGCGTGTTTGACGACTATATCCGTCATCCGCTTGATTAACGCGACACACACCAGAGCGCACTCTGTGCACAGATCATCGCCACACTTAATTGGTTAATGAATGGAAGAGTGTGAATCCTCAGAAACAAAAAGATCCATATA